CCTCCCATTGCAGCCTCCTAAGTAGCTGGGACTACAGGTACACACCACCATGCCCGGCTAATTTTTGTACTTTTTGTAGAGATGGGGTTTCACATGTTGCCCAAGCTAGCTGTATTTTATGTATTTATTTATTTACTTATTTATTTGAGATGGAGTCTTGCTCTGTCACCCAAGCTGGAGGGTGGTGATATGATCTAGGCTCATGCAACCTCTGCCTCCCAGGTTCAAGTGATTCTCCTGCCTCAGCCTCCCAAGTCACTGGGATTACAGGCGAAAGCCACCATGCCGGGATAATTTTTGTATTTTTATATTCGTATCCCATGTTAGCCAGGCTGGTCTCAATCTCCTGACCTCAAGTGATCCGCCTGCCTTGGCCTCCCAAAGTGCTGGGATTACAGGCGTGAGCTACCGCGCCCAGCCCAGGCTGGTTGTATTGATATTATAATACAGGAAATAAAAATTTTACATTAAATATACCAATCCAATGGAAAACTAAGAATTAATTTAACGGATTTAAGAGTCAGAAAGGTCATAGCTCAAGCTTTCCAACCAGCTTTCTTCCTCTGTAACCTTAACTTCCTTATGCCTCGGTTTTCTCATCTATGAGAAAAAGCAGGCCGGGTACAGGAGCTCACACCTGTAATTGCAGCACCTTGGGAGACCAGGGCAGGAGGACTGCTTGAGCCCAGGAGTTTGAGACCAGCCTGGGCAACACAGTGAAACCCTATCTCTATTAAAATTATTTTTTACTGCCACCATGTGTCAACTAAAAAAAAGAAGAAAAAAATTATTTTTAAAAAGATAATTTTTAATAAGACAAAGCAAAATAAAACAAAATCTGAGCATATAATCCCCCTTCTATATCCCAGAAGTCACTGCATTGGCTCTATGCCTATTAAAAAATAATACATTAAAAAGATTTTTGGGCCAAGCATGGTGGCTCACGCCTGTAATCCCAGCACTTTGGGAGGCCGAGGCAGGCGGATCACCTGAGATCAGCAGTTGAGGCCAGCCTGGCCAATATGGTGAAACCCTGTGTCTACTGAAAATACAAAAATTAGCTGGGCATGGTGGTGGGCGCCTGTAATCCCAGCTACTCGGGAGGCTGAGGCGGGAGAATCTCTTGAACTCGGGAGGCGGAGGTTCCAGTGAGCTGAGATTGTGCCACTGCATTCCAGCCTGGGAGACAGAGCGAGACTCTGTCTCAAAAAAAAAAAAAAAAAAAAAAAATCTTTTTTTGAAGTATCCCAGAAGTCATGTCCATGAAGTAACTAACATACCTCCATTTTTCCTAAACAAGTCCAGAGGGGCTACAATCTCACACTATTTGATCCTGAAACACAAGGGATACAATATGCAAATTAAGACTATTTTGTTGTTTCCTTGCTACTAGATAGCATAGAGCAGGGAAATTTTCCCATTGCCTGGATGGTGGCAATAGCACAGAAGGCTGTTGATCAAGTGGCTGCCTGCAGCACAGCTAATCATCCTAGGTTAGGCCAGGTAGATCACTGAACCTTTTCTTAGACCAATCCCAGATGCTCCTCTTGCTCTCTCCAGTGCTTCCCCAGCCTACCAACGTCTCAACTGGCCACCATTCCATCCCACCTTTGGCAAACCCAGGCTGACATATTAACCAAACGGCCAGAAGGGGTCACTGTGGAACTAGTCTGGGAAGAAAGTTAGCCTTAGCCATTCTTTTACCAAGTGGCTATTGGCCAGGATAACCACACCCCTGATTTAATGTATATTATAGTACATATAATCATATTTATATAAATTATATCCTTTTAATATAATGTTTAATGTTTCTATTATATAATGTAATATAATACATATTTGATATCATTTATATATTATGCATATATTATATATATATATTTTTATATATATATATATTTTTTGAGATGGAGTCTCACTCGGTCGCCCAGGCTAGAGTGCAGTGGCGTGACCTCGGCTCACTGCAACCTCCGCCTCCCAGGTTCAAGTGATTCTCCTGTCTCAGCCTCCTCAATAGCTGGGATTACAGGCATGTGCCACTACGCCCAGTTAATTTAATGATCTCTTTGGATGTATTTATTCTTCCAAATACCTACCACTGAAACATTCTGTTCCTAACAGATTTCCATTGCCCTTCATACTCTCCCTTTTCCTTCCTTTCTCTGAGTTAAACTATTGCTGATTTTTTTCATCTTCCAAAAGATTCCCAGAGCTGACCTTCTTGTCTCTCAAATATTTGTTTTTCTCTAAGTGGAGAATCTTCTCCTAGATTATACAACCTCCCTCATAAAAACCTGGGGAGCAGGAGGGAGGTGTTGAAACTTCCCCAGAGCGTGTGCATTCTTTATTGCTTTATTTCTTGTCCTGCGCTGGCATAAATGCAGTTAGCTGCTTGGTGATTTAACATACAACAGTCAGACAAAATGAGATCTAAGAGAAAACCCAGAGTTCAAATTAAGCTGGCAAATTTATAGGCTAATTTGTGGCAGTTTGTTCCACCAAAAATACAATTATTTTGCTGAAGGCCTTCTATTCTAATGCTTACAAGGAGTAGCACCATTCCAGGGTGAGGTTTTAGCTGCAATTCTATCCCACTAATTATCTGTTTTACTGTAGGGGAGCCTTCTTCACTTCTTAGTTGCTATGGGCTATAACTGCTTTATGTACATAATGAAGAAACAATAAAGTAGATAATCTTGAAAACGACTTATTTGTAAAATTCTATAATTCTAAAATTAAAAAAAATTATACTAGTCAGGACTTGTTAATTTTACAAGCTTTAAAACTTGGAAACAGGCCCGGCACGGTGGCTCACTCCTGTAGTCCCAGCGACTCGGGAGGCTGAGACTCGAGAACTGCTTGAACCCAGAAGGGAAAGCTGCAGTGAGCTGAGATCACGCCACCGAACTACAACCTGGTTGACAGAGCAAGACTCTGTCTCAACAACAAAACAAAACAAAACAAAAGACCAACTAGGAAACAGTACACATATTTTCAAATTTTATGTACCACAAACGATATACGGACAAATTAGCAACAAACTGGGTAATGCAACCCATCGGATCAAATCTAAATGAATAGCTGATTATAAATGTGTATCATTAGAGAGTATGTAAAAAGTTCTTGCTTTCAACAGCCTCTATTATCACATCTGAATGGGAACCCTGAACTATCTTCTGGCGTTTTGAAGTGAGACCTGGCTACCATTACACTCTGATTCATAGTCTTTGGTTTTCCTTGTCATTTTACCCTGCCTCCAGGAGCCTACCTATTACCCAAATAAGGGAAGCCAAACTGAAAAATCTTATCATGGAATCAGAGGGTTGTGATCAATATGAACTATATCTAAACATTTTTTCAAAAAGAAAGGATTCTCTGGAATTAGCCTCCTTTTTGTTGAGGACCCAAAAACCACAATATGTATACCCAAGATAAGGCCAAGGGATAAGTGTTAAAATTCCCAGTATTGGCCGGGCGCAGTGGCTCACGCCTGTAATCCCAGCACTTTGGTAGGCTGAGATGGGTGGATCACGAGGTCAAGAGTTTGAGACCAGCCTGGCCAACATGGTGAAACCCCATCTCTACTAAAAATACAAAAATTAGCTGGGCGGGGTGGCGGTCACTTGTAATCCCAGCTACTCGGGAGGCTGAGGCAGAAGAATCGCTTGAACCCGGGAGGCAGAGGTTGCAGTGAGCCAAGATTGCGCCACTGCACACCAGCCTGGGCAACAGAGTGAGACTCTGCCTCAAAAGAAAAAAAAATCCCAGTATGACACTGTACCTCACTTCTATTTGTTTTTTTGTTTGTTTTGAGACAGGGTCTCACTCTGTCACCCAGGCTGGAGTGCAGTGGGTTCACGTAATTCTTGTGCCTCAGCCTCCCGAGTAGCTGGGACTACAGGGGCCTGCCACCACGCCTGGCTAACTTTTGTATTTTGAGTAGAGACAGGGTTTCACCATGTTGGCCAGGCTGGTCTCAAACTCCTGTCCTCAAGTGATGATCCGCCCGCCTCGGTCTCCCAAAGTGCTGGGATTACAGGTGTGAACCACCACTCCTGGCCCACTTCTATTTGTATTTCACTGTTCTTTAGTTACAACAGAAAGCAAACATACCAATACAATTAAGAAGTAACCATAAATATACTAAATGCACAGATTTGTGGCTATAACTCCCTCTTATTCCCTGGTGTCTGCCTGAGTCTTAGTTCAGCCCTATATCTACAGGGTAGAAAGAACACTTAGTATAGTAATCAGAAGAAGTGAAAAAGGATTGGAAAAAAAAGGAGAATGGGGGAATTTACAGAGAAGAAAGAATATTTGCTGTAAGACTTTGTATTCATAACAAATGCTCTTGGAAGTTTCTTTTCACAGTGATCTCTAAAACCAACTGCCCCACATAAGAAAAGCATCTTGAATATATGTTAGTAATTTATGTGGTCAAAAACTGCTAATTAATGATGTAAATTAAGCATACAAATAAAGAGCAAGGGCTTTGAAAATAAAGTATTTTTTAGAACCTGGAAAATTATAATATCAGTAAAAATAAAATTAAGTGATGAGCATCTCCCAACCAGGGATATTTTTGTTCTCTATCAATCGGCAGCATCATAGCCAGCTGACAGAGCGTAGAGAGGTGGTGGGGAATTCTGAAGGCTATGAAGAATGTGACAGCCTGACATATGATTTGGACTTTATAGAAACAGATAAGATCATAACTCAGCTCAGGCTAATATAACATCGTATTGTTTCTGTTTTACTATACCTCATACCTACAACAACAGCCCAGGAAACAGGTGTATAATAATAAGAAAAAAATGAAAGTTTATGGAGTGGAGTTACCCTTCTAAATGGAACATCAAGGCAGGTGGGAAGAACCCCTTCACCGCTGGCCTTTACAAGCAATCGGAGGGAAGTATGTAGAGAGCAGGTGTGTATTTGATAAACACAATGGAATGCTAAAAACAATAGTAAAACAACAAATTAAGTAGGTATTTACTTACAAGGAGTTCCTCTGCTGGCTTCCTCCATAGTTACCCTGACATAGGGCTTACTAAAGTCAACTTCAATTTCATCAGAAAAAGGAGCTGGTTTCCGTAAGCCCTTAAGAGAAGGAAAGTGAAGGAAAAGAAAGTTCAACTCAATGGCATACACTGTAATACTAAAAAAAAAAAAGGCAGCTTTAAAGACAAATCAGTTATTCAATATGATGTGATTAAAATTCTTCCTAAAACATTGTAACATAAGAAAGAAGGAAAAAACGGTATTCCAAACTGACAAATGAAAGTTGCAACCTTTTACAAAATGGGTAAATTATGGCATGAAAAATAAATGTCTTCCTGGTGACTTCAGGTTCACACTGAGCAATCTGGCTGGGAGTCCAAGCACGGTCCCAACTAACGGGGTCCAGAATGATGGCTCCTCTGCAGCAAGGCAAAACAGCCACCCCTATATCATGTGACAAATTGCCAAGTTCCTAAGTGCATTTTCTTCATTTTCTTTTTTTTTTTTTTGAGACAGTCTCGCTCTGTCACCCAGGCTGGAGCGCAGGGGCATGATCTCGGCTCACTGCAACCTCCACCTCCCGGGTTCAAGCGATTCTCCTGCCTCAGCCTCCCGAGTAGCTGAGATTACAGGTACCCGCCACCGCGCCCAGCTAATTTTTGTATTTTTAGTAGAGACAAGGTTTCGCCATATTGGCCAGGCTAGTCTTGAACTCCTGAGCTCAAGTGATCCTCCCACCTTGGCCCTCCCACAGTACTGGGATTACAGGCGTGAGCCACTTTGCCTGACCCATAAGTGCATTTTCACACCACTTCCACTAGGAGACTGGGAAGGCAAACAGCTCCTGGGTGCTTTATTGAGTGTAACTATCACTGTGTAGTGCTTGACACTGTCAATATGTTCTAATGCTCATAACACCCTGTAAGGCAAGAAGTACTATAATCGGTATCCTCAACTTAAGGATGAGAGAAACGAGGCAGGGCACAGTGGCTCACGACTGTACTTCCAGCACTTTGGGAGGCTGAGATGACCAAATCACCTGAGGTCAGGAGTTCGAGACCAGCCTAGCCAACATGGTGAAACTCTATCTCTACTGAAAATACAAAAATTACAGTGGTGCACCTATAATTCCAGCTACTTGGGAGGCTGGGGCAGGACCATCACTTGAACCCAGGAGGCAGAGGTTGCAGTGAGCCGAGATAGCACCACTACACTTCAACCTGGGCCACAGAGCAAGACTCAGTCTCAAAAAAAAAGGATGAGAGAAAGGAGATTCAGAGAAGTTATGTAAATTGTACGTAGTTACTCAGAGGCCAAGCTGAAATTATTATGCAGGCATGTTGATCTATTATAGATGGCTTCATTTAAGAAATTCTGTTATTCCCGTCTGTAATCCCAGCATTTTGGGAGGCCGAGGTGGGTGGATCACGAGGTCAGGAGATCGAGACCATCCTGGTTAACACAGTGAAACCACGTCTCTACTAAAGATAGAAAAAATTAGCCGGGTGTGCTGGTGGGCACCTGTAATCCCATCTACTCTGGAGGCTGAGGCAGGAGAACTGCTTGAACACGGGAGGCAGAGGTTGCAGTGAGCCAAGATCACGCCATTGCACTCCAGCCTAGGCGACAGGGCAAGACTCCATCTCAAAAAAAAAAAAAGAGTCTTTGTTATTCCTAAATATTTTATTCTACTTGATGCTGTTGTGAATGGAATTGTTTTCTTAATTTTATTTTTGGATTGTTCCTTGATATTATGTAACACTGCAATTGATTTGTATTTGTGTTTGTGTAATTGAAATTTTCTGTATATTGATCTTATGTTCTATGATTTTGCTAAAGCTAATTCTCAGTTCTAGTATCAGCTGTTGTTTCATAGATTCCTTAGCATTTTCTACATATAATCATATCATGTTGTCTGTGAATAAAGACAGTGTTGCTTATTCTATTCCAATCTGGATTTTTCTTTTCTTTTTTTTTTTGAGAGGGTCCAGCTCTGTTGCCCAGGCTGGAGTGCACTGGCGCCATTTCGGCTCAATGCAACCTCCCCCTCCCCGACTCAAGTGATCCTCCCGCCTCAGCCTCTCAGGTAGCTGGGACTACAGGCACGCATTACCCAACATGCAGCTGATTTTTTATTCTTGTAGAGACAAGGTCTCACTATGTGCCTGGGCTGGTTTCAAACTCCTGGCCTCAAGCAGTCATTCCACCTTGGGTTCCCAAAGTGCGGAGGTTATAGGCGTGGGCCACCGCACCCGGCTAATTTTTTGTATTTTTTAAAAATTCAGTCTCCATAGAGACTGTCAAAAATCGCCAATGCTGATGACATTGCAAGTTGTCACAGAGGGGTACTGGGAAAAGTTTTCAAGGAGTAATAACTGCGCCTCGGATAAACGCCAGTGGTCACTGTGCAAAGCTCTTTTATTACTGCCGCTGTGCAAAGCTCTTTTATTACTGCCGCTGTGCAAAGTTATTTTTTTTTAATTATTATTTTTTTAGAGATGGGGTTTTGCCATGTTGCCCAGGCTGGTCTCAAACTCCTGGACTCAAGCGATCCACCCAGTTCAACCTCCCAAAGTGCTGGGATTACAGGTGTGAACCATTGCACCTGGCCTGGCTTTTTTTTTTTGAGGGAGTTTCACTCTTATTGCCCAGGCTGGAGTGCAATGGTGCGATCTCAGCTCACCGCAACCTCTGCCTCCCAGGTTCAAGCAATTCTCCTGCCTCAGCCTCCCAAGTAGCTGGGATTACAGGCACGTGCCACCACACCCGGCTAATTTTAACTTTGTATTTTTAGTAGAGAAGGGGTTTCTCCACGTTGGTCAGGCTGGTCTCGAACTCCCGACCTCAGGTGATCCGCCCACCTTGGCCTCCCAAAGTGCTGGGATTACAGGCGTGAGCCACCATGCCCGGCCTCTGGCCTGGAATTTTTGACTATAGTTTGTTTCTTGTAATGTTTTTGTCTGGCTTTGATATCTGGCCTCACAAAACAGGTTGTGAAGTATTCTCTTTACCTTATTTTGGTGTAAGATTCGTATCATTTATTCCTTAAATGTTTTTGTGGGTTTTGTAAAGACAGGTTCTCACTCTGCCTCCGAGGCTGAAGCGCGGTGGCACGATCATAGCTCTCTGCAGCCCCCGATTCTGGGGCCCACGCAGTTCTCTCACCTCAGCTTCTCTAACAGCTAGGACTACAGGCGGGCACCACCACACCCAGCTAACTTTTTAACTTTGGGCCTGGACTTGTCTTTGTAAGAAGATTTTTAATGACTAATTCCTTTTTTTTTCTTTTTTAACTTGACATAGGTCTATTAAGATTTTCTACTTTGTCTTGGTTAGTTTTTGTAATTTGTCTCTTTCTAGGAAATTGTCTATTAAATTGTCAAAAATTTTGGCATGAAATTGTTCCCTTATAATCCTTCTAATTTCTGTATGGCTATAGTGATGCTCAGTTCTAAAAAGATCATATCGTGATTGGGCTGAATCAAGAGACTGTGAAGATCAGATAAGTGTAGATTTTAAAATTATTTTAACATTAAAACACGTTTTTGTTTGTTTGTTTTGGTTTGGTTTGTTTTGGCTGGGTGCAGTAGCTCACGCCTGTAATCCCAGCACTTTGGGAGGCCCAGGCTAGTGGATTGCTTGAGCCCAGGTGTTCAAGACCAGCCTGGGCAACATGACAAAACCCTGTCTCTACAAAAAACACAAACATTAGCCGGGCGCGGTGGCGTATGCCTGTAGTCCCAGTTACTTGGGAAGCTGAGGTGGCAGGGTTGCTTGAGTCAGGGAGGCAGGGGTCACAGTGAGCTGAGATTGCCCCACCACATTCCAGCCTGGGCAACAGAGCAAGACCCTGTCTCCAAAAAAAAAAAAAAAAAAAAATCACTTATATAAGTTTAGTTAAGATATACTTAATGATATAAATGGAAACATTCTTTTTTTTTTTTTGAGGTAAAGTGTTGCTCTGTCGCCCAGGCTGAAGTGCAGTGGTGCGAGCTCGGCTCACGGCAACCTCCACCTCTCAGTTTCAAGTGATTCTCGTGCCTCAGCCTCCCAACTAGCTGGGATTACAGGCATGCACCACCACACCTGGCTAATTTCTGTATATTTAGTAGAGACAGGGTATCACCATGTCGGCCAGGCTGGTCTTGAACTCCTGGCCTCAAGTGATCCGCCCACTTCGGCCTCCTAAAGTGCTGGGATTACAGGCTTGAGCCACCACGCCCAGCCAAGACATTCATTTTTAGATATGTGTGTGTGTTGTTATTCTTTGGAATACTTTTAAAAATAGAACCAAGGACCTAGATACTAATCAAAACCACAAGGAGATACTATTTCATATCATCCAGGATGGCTACGAGCAAAAAGACAGGCAATAACAGTCTCGGTAAGGATGTGAAGAAGTTAGACCATCTTACATTGCTACTGTGAATATAAAATAATGTGCAGCTTTGGAAAACGGTTCTTCAAAATGTTAAACAGAATTACAATATGACCCAGAAATTATACTACTAGGTATACACCCAAGATAACTGAAAACATATATTAAGAAAAAAAAACTATGTAGGGCACAGTAACTGATGCCTGTAATCCCAGCACTCTGGGAGGCCGAGGCGGGTAGACCACCTTAGATCGGGAGTTCGAGACCAGCCTGGCCAGCATGGTGAAATCCTGTCTCTGCTAAAAATACAAAACTTAGCCAAGTGGGGTGGTACATGCCTGCAATCCTAGCTACTTGGGAGGTTGAGGCAGGAGAATTGCTTGAACCCAGGAGGTGGAGGTTGCAGTGAGCTGAGATTGTGCCACTGTGCTCACTGGGAGACAGAGAAAGACTCTGCCTCAAACAAAAACAAAAACAAAAACAGAAACAAACAAACAAAAAACTTATACATGAAAAATGTTCACACACTTGCATTACTCGTAATAGCCAAAAAGTAGAAACAACCCAAATGTCCATCAATGAATGTATAAACAAATGGTATGTCCATACAATGGAATATTTTTATTTACCTATAAAAAGGAATAAAGTACTGATACATGCTACCACCTGGATGGATATTGAAAACATTATGCCAAACAAAGGAAGTCGGACACAAAAGGCC